CCTGCTATATATAATCTACAAGCTTTTCACGCGTGCCATCCTCAACAGGATTAGCAGAACATTAGATGAAGGACAGCCATGCGAGCAAGCAGGGTTTCGGTGAGGGTTGAGCACAATCGATCATATCCACACTCTAACAAGGCTCATTGAAGTATCGCAAGAGTAAAAAATGCCGTTATGTATTACGTTTATCGATTTGAACAAAACCTTTGACACCGTTTAGGCAGAAGCGGTAATTAAAGCCCTGGGCAACCAGGGTGTTCCTACTCAACATAAAAGGATGCTTCGTGAGCTCTACGACAACTTCACGACCAGGATTTCACCATTCTAGATTCTAGATTCTATAACTGCGATATTGAACAATTACGGGCAAAATTACCACTACGCCTTGTGAAAATCATGAATCCTTTAGTGGAAACCTCGGTCGTAAGAATGTACCCGTGATGTCGAAGGTCTTGTCTGATTGACAGAGAAGAAAGCTCTTGCTATCGTGTACTTAGGCATCACATAAATTTCTAACCACATGAAGTCGTCAATCACTGCTTCCTAGCAAAGACGGAACAGTATAGCACTCAGAGAACCGCTGCACATTTTCCTGTATCGAATTTCTGAAACCAGGATTGACGCTAGGCACAATTCGACGGCCTGCTTTATTCACTTATATAAGGGTATTCATCGTTTGTCATTCCTGATTGCATCACTTTGAGTTGTCCCTACGGCACGTGTTACGAAATTTCCATTGTCAAGGTGGTTTAATCCTTCATCACAGCAATTTCCAGCCTCGCGATGGAATAATCTACTTGATTGGTGGAATCTCGAACTTGGCAATGAGCAGATCAAAAACGATATGCTGCTAATTCGCATGTCGGCCGGCATATTTGTTGGGAACACCATGGTTTAATTGATAGTCTTCCTCAAGATAACTTTCTGCTCATCCTGTTTTTTGTCATGCTTCCAGAAACTTCGGAAGAACAGCTGTCGCTCAGCAATGTTCATCAACTCAATGCATTTGTTGAAAAAGGGTAGTTGTCGCAGTGGCGTATGAACTCTTTTGGAATCATTTTCTTCATGCTCCTCAGCTTCATGAAAATATATACAGAACTGCAAAGGACATCTAACTTCAAAGCCAGCGAACACGGACCCTCATATGGATGATATCTAATCTTCATTCCGGCAACGAACCAAAAAAAACAGTTCATCGTTACATCATCATTACAATAAAGTTGAAAGTTGCTCAAACAACTGACAGTTGATTCTGGCAGAAATCAGTATTTAATACCTCGAGGCACATGATAAAAAAATCAAATGCCAGAAAGCAATGCACTCGGATGGCTTGGATTCTTCTGAGTTCCTTTGCTACAGTGTTTCTGTCGGTCGCTTGTGATTCGAAACTTTAGTTATTAGCACCGTAGGTTGCCGTCGAAGCGATGCTGACATTTGCTTGTGAGATTAATATCAAATCTTTGAAGCTTGGTCAACGATTGACAAACTTTACCATTCCAACTTGTTGAGTTTGCAAATGCATTCTCGGTCAATCAAGAGGGTGCGTGCAACATGTCGCTATAGCAAAAGCCGGCCAGCCGGCCTACTCGATCCTCCTTGACTATGTCGATGCTCATAAA